CATGGGCGCTCTTCTGCTTGAACTGTTTCATTTGTAGCATATACTGATGCTTCAATTTATGGCCTGTTGTTTTTCAGGAATATTTGACTGGAAAAAGCAGAGTTGATAGAATACTGCATTTTCATTATTTGATCTGCATGCTTCTTCCAGTACTAAAGCAAATAAGTGAAGATCAGAATATTGAGCTAGAAACAGAAGCAAAAATTAAAGGTAGTTATTTTTGTTCTTCAAACATTAATGTTTTCTGAAGCAATTTTCTTTTATTGGAACACATTTGTTTTAGATTCCTTTGTGTGTGGCAGGGAAAAATATTTCTGATATTCAAATCAAGCAGGTTGAATTTGGCTGCAATGAGAATAGTTGTTGGTAAGTTCTCTTCTCCAGGTGCTATTGAGAAAAGTGACATGATTTTCTGGCGCTGCTTGTTAACTAATGTTACATTTGTCCCAGCAATCACTGCAAAACACCCATTTTGGATCTCCATAGAAGCTGTCCTGGTTGTTCATATAAGCTATGCTTAAGTTGTTGTCAGGAGTTAAGTAAAGGAAAAACTTCTGGAGAAATTAACTCATCTATGTTCAAGCAACCTGATAAAATGAAAGCTTGTGATGCTAGTGAGAGCCATACTTTGGGTGACAAAGCCATATCTAGTGGCAATTTAACTGATACTTCAATATTGCCTGAGTGGACAAATTGTAATGACATTGATAGTTTATCATGCCCTCCTACAGAGCTTGGTGGTTGTGGTAATTGTCACCTTGATTTGAGATCTGTTTTCACCTCTAGTTGGATCAAAGAGATGGAAGTAAAGGCGGAAGAAATTGTTTGCAGCTATGACTTCCCTGAAACTTCAGATAAAAGTTCGAGCTGCTCATTGTGTTTTGACACTGATCACAGCACTAACAGATACAAACAGTTACATGAAGCAGCTCTAAGAGAAGATTCCAATGATAATTACTTGTTTTGTCCCACGGTGTTGGACATTAGTGGTGATAACTTTGAGCACTTTCAGAAACACTGGGGAAAAGGCCATCCTATAGTTGTCCAAGATGTGCTCCAAAATACATCAAACCTCAATTGGGATCCAGTAATAATGTTCTGTACTTATCTTGAGCAGAGCATTACAAGATATGAGAATAATAAAGATTTACTTGCATCTTGTTTGGACTGGTGGGAGGTCAGTATACCATCTAATTGCATATTTTATGTGTCACAATTCTTTTAAATTGATGTCGTTATTTGACCAGAAAGTGTTAAACTACCTTAAAATATTATTTATTCAATTTAATGCATTTTTAATTATGGTCTGAAATTTAGTGTATAGTTATTGTATATGTGTAGCCTGTAAACCTTGTTCATAGTAATGATTTTGCTGCCATTGTTAAAAGTGCACTATTATTGGCAGGTGGATATTAACATTAGGCAGTTTTTTACTGGGTCTGTGAAACGTCGTCCTCAGAGAAACACTTGGCATGAGATGCTGAAACTAAATGGGTGGCTGTCTTCCCAAATATTCAAAGAGCAGTTTCCAGCTCATTTTGCTGAGGTAATTGATGCCCTACCAGTTCAAGAATACATGCACCCGTTGTCTGGTCCTCTGAATTTAGTGGCAAATTTGCCACATGGGAGTGCAAAACATGATATTGGCCCATATGTCTATATATCTTATGGCTCTGCTGACAAAGAAACTGATTCTGTTACAAAACTCTGCTATGACTCGTATGATGTGGTAGGTGTCCTTCCTTGTTATGTTATGCTTCATTTATTCTTAAATATATCTTGAGTGATATTATCCTGCACTTTTCAGTCATTAATTACTGGTTTTGAACAATATAATGTTCAAGTGATTTCAAATATTATGAACTAAGCTTCTTTTTTATTTTTCCTTTTGTAAAAAATGTATGTGTATATATCCTTTGATGACAACTTAAAGTGGATCTCATCTTTTGAAGCATCCTCTCAGCATGTTTGCTTTTCATAAAGATTGTTTTTCCCTTGCAAATTTTATACTATTTGCAATGAAAATCCTGTCCCCTGTATATATGCTTGTTTTTGGTCTGGAAGTGAAAATATGAAATGTTTTCTCAATAAAAGTAGTAGTGCATCCTATGTTCATGTAATTTCGAAATCCTACAATTACATTTTGGACTATAACAGCCTTGATGTTCATTTCTACGCTGAATACCAGTACTCAATCATGCTGAAAAATAGATACCATACCAGAAATAAAACTTGGTCAAATCCTTAGTCATTCATAATCAATTTATTAGGACCTGTTCTAGCTTTCATAGAAATTAAAAGTTGCAACTGATTCCTTCTCACTCTCAAATAGCAGTTGCTTGCACTTAGTTTGTAAAAGGAATATTTTGTTTGATATCCATGCTGTTTTCTGTGTCTGATTTGTAATTCCAGGTTAATATTATGACACATGCCACGGATGTCCCCCTCTCTACAGAACAGCTTACAAAAATAAGAAAGTTACTGAAAAAGCACAAAACTCTCTGTCAAATGGAGACTATTGCTACTGTGGAGATACAGGAACAGAAAGTGAATGGAATGACATTATTGGATGCTGAAAAAATGGAGCAAAAAGACTTGCAGAGTATGGTTGATGAAGGATCAAACTTTTTCAGGAGAGTCAATAGAACATCTTGCATCTCAACTGAAGCAAAAAACGTTTCTAGTCAGAGCAAAAACAGCAATATTTCCCAGAATGGAGAATGTGATGTTTCTGATTCTGATTCTGGACCTGCCTTACTTCTCCATGGGACAGTTCAAACTACTGCATTGTCTAATCACGACAATCCTAGATATCCCTTTGAAAGATCACAAAGAAATAAAAATAAGTTTACTGAGCAATCTGGTGCCCAGTGGGATGTCTTTCGTAGACAAGATGTACCAAAACTCATAGAGTACCTTCAAAGGCACTATGATGAATTTTCTTATACCAATGACTATTACAAGAAAGTAAGTACAAAATAAGACAATTCCGAGGAAGGATTTTGATTGAGTTGATGATTATCCATTTTCTCTTGTCTGCAGCAGATGGTTCATCCAATTCTAGATCAGAGCATCTTCCTTGACAGTACTCACAAAATGAGACTAAAGGAGGAATTTAGTAAGTAAATATGCTTGTATCTGTTTGATCATCCATTACAGTCCTAGATAACTTCGTTTGACACATGCCTGTCACTATTGCAGAGATTGAACCATGGAGTTTTCAGCAACACGTTGGACAAGCTGTCATCATTCCTGCCGGATGTGCATATCAGATCAGAAATTCTAAGGTTTTGTGCATTAGCATAAATTTTTTCTCTGGCTAGCTTGAAAAACAGAAACGTTATTGCATTTTATTTGTTATTGAACTGGATATCCATGCTTTTGGACATTTTTATAATTTGAAAATTTTCAAGTAATTTCAATGTATGTTAAGCTATACCTTTTAGCAAATGATTTCTCAAGAATGTATGGATGTTTTTAGCCATCAACACTTGCATTTTATATGAAATGTAGAAGGAAAGCAAAAGGATGATTACACAATAATAATATTAATGGTCTTACTTTCCGTATAATTGCTCATGAAGGATTTCATTATCTCAATTTTAGTCTTTGTATAGCCCTGTTATATACTCTGAATTGTATGATTGAACGACAAGCATTTGTTCCTTGATCCAGTCTTGTGTTCATGCGGTATTGGAATTTGTGTCCCCTGAAAATGTTACCGAGGGTATCCAGTTGATTGATGAGGTTCGACTATTGCCTGAAAACCATAAAGCGAAAGCAGACGTGCTGGAGGTAGAACTTGTATTGAATTATTTACCAGTTCCTGCCTTCTCCTTTTAGTTGCACAGAATTGACTAGCCTTCCTCTTTTTTTGGCATACATAAAAACAGGTAAAGAAAATGGCGCTTCATAGCATGAATACAGCAATTAAAGAAGTACGTCACCTTACAAGCAAAACATGATCGCACCAGCTTAAAATATACTTACATGCCTCTGAGGCTCTAGAGATCTCATGTCTCAACCTCACTTCCACATCTTCATTCTTGTATATAATAATGCTCAGACACATTAATATCTAGTAAGGTACTTATTAAATTGATTGATTTCCGTCTTTGTCCTTCTTTTTTTCATGCTGTGATGTTTATGCCCTGAATTTGAAATAAATTTTACGGTTTGTGTATATTTCTTGAGTTGTTTATTTAGAGTGAGAAAAATGAAAATTTAATTTCTTTCCATTAATTTTAAATGCAAGGGAATAGGTTGATATCAATTGAAATAAATGTAGTTCTCCAGTATGCTCAATAATCACGCGGGTAGATCGATGAGTATTGTGAGTTTGAAAATGCTTAAAGTTTGATTCTTCAACCCTGGTAGATTGTTTTGAGCTACAGTTTTGTTTTTGGGACTACAGCTGGAATGACACCAATTATATAATTATAAATCTAACAATCCGCAGCCTTATCTGTCAGGCTGAGGCCCAGAGTGTGCTAACCTTGGTTGCCAAAGCGGGTTACTTTGCATGGTTCATCCCTCTTCCATGTTCATTAGCATTTGGAAGTGCTAAGCACGGTGATATTCGTTTGCTCTATCATCTAAACTGTAGATGATGTTTTCCATCATCCATAAAGCGTGATTAACACATATGATCATATCAAAGTAGGGTAAAGCATTTGAAACCGGTTCCAAAATCAGGTTCCCAGATGGGTAAATCAGCATAAGCGAGAAGAATCTGAAAAGGTTCAATTTGTTGGTCCTAGCTCAAATTTTGGAAGTACCACACTAGGCTGTCGACATATTTTTCACCCATTCGTCACAACTGATACCATGTTTTGAAACGGTCAAGTACGTGCGATCTTTATCAATTGTTAACACTCGAATGTTGTATTGAAGTTGAATCATGAACATAATCTCTTAAAGCTGTCCATTTGATTGCCCCCAGAATTGATTGCATCAGTGTGCTACTGGACAATGGACACACTTTCACTTCCTCTGTAAATGAGTTTGATATTGGATGCTGATGATTAGGGTATATTTACATTTCTAACGAAACTGATTCCATTCATAATTAAGATTTTTCTATGATCAATCATTTAGCACTGATATTGGGAGGCTTACATACGGGCTGGGTTTAGTGGGCAAGAATGAAACGGTTAAGACAAGTTTAAAAATCAATATCACAGTTTCTCGTGTAGAAACAAAGAACAGAAAAATTAGTGATGTAATTATAATTTATTATCATTATATTTATAATGTTAGTAAACCAGAGAAAGATAAGTTGCCGTCAAATTTTCGATCATTTGCGTCTCATTTTGTAAGTACAGAACAAGTGAAAGCAAATCTTTTTTCCAAGAAAGCATTTTTAAAGCAATTGAAAATAAAATAAAATAAATAAGAGGAAAGAAAATAAAAGTTCTTGTTTAAAATATAATTGAATAAGATTTCTTGAGATTTAGTTAATTACCTTGAGTAAGCATTGACTTTTATCTTTAGATTTGAAAAGCGTTACTTATATTAATCTTTGAAATTAATTGTCAAATAAGTTTTAAAATTTAATTATGTACTGTTATTTTAATCTCTGAATGTGTGTGTGTATATATATATATATATATATATATATATATATATATATATATATATTTTTTACATATTTGAGCTATTATTTCAAACACATAGTTTATTTTGAAAACAACCTTTTTTATATATAACAAAAAAACAGCTCAAATCTTCATAATTAATTTGTCCTCTTAG